TTTTTTTAATTAACATGCACATGAATCAAAACCCAAAACCCGAAACTAATTGTGACATGACAAGCTGAAAAGGTCCAAATAGAGACATATAAAAGGTGCACACACAGTGTCATTCACACAAACACTGCATGGTAACACACATGCCTCTCAAATAATGCAATAAACATTCATTTAACAACATTAGATGTATAACATAAAACCCTAATGTACATAACAAATCTAAGAGGAAAAATTGTTATTTCAACGAAAATACATAAAATGTGAAGTATCACGCAGGGAATTCTGGGAATGTCAATTTATGGTTTTTCACTGTAAATCATACAATGACTTGTCCTTTTCACATAAAACTGTAAAAATAACAGTATTTTACTGTAAAATAACATTAAATGTAAGGTTATATCTATCAGTTGAAGTATTTTTCGGAATCCTCCAGAAAAACAATAGAAGAAACACTTCAGGAACACAAGGCACTTTTACAAATTAAAAACTTCCCTTGTTTCGAGAATAGGACATTCTTTGTCTGTTTGGATTTTATTTGTTTGGGATGTCTGAAAATGTTCCGCCATGACTTAACGGCGAGTGACAGCAGGCTTTCTCTATCCAGGGCTTTGGAGGTTTGTACCTACAGGGCAAAGCAGCACAGAGCGCTCCTGGCTCCAGACCAGGCCATTAAAACCACTGTGGGGATGCCGGAAAGGAAAAGGGGAGGAGGGGAAGACAGACTCGATTGGTGGGTTTGCTAATTGCATGCCCTGGTTTTGCAAATATGCTTCCTCAAGCACTTTTGCTACACCTCTGTGGGCCCTGCAGTAAAACAGCATGTCCCAAAGAGATTCAAGTCTTCAACAGAACTGTATAAACACTCACTGTTTCTGACTCTTAAGTTGTACTGTAGCAACTAGATGTTGTTCTTTTGCTCCCTAAAGGCCCAGTTGAACGCAGAAGCTAAACAGGCTTTAATCCATCTGATCTCATACTGTACATCTGATTCATGTATGTACTTTACATAAGAAGCTGAACTCCAGGTTTAAAGTCCAGATTTATGCAGTGGCTTGCAGATCAAACATAAGCCACTAACTCTCTCAGAGTATATAGTACATTTAGTTTAGTTTAGTTTATTATTTTCAACACTGATAATAATAAATTAATAAAAAGAAAACCAAATTTGCATATTAGAATGATTTCTGAAGGATCATGTGACACTGGAGACTGGGGTAATGATGCTGAAAATTCAGCTTTGTATCAGAGGAATAAATTACATTTTAAAATATGTTGAAATGGGAAAACAGTTATTTTAAATTATAATAATGTTTCATAATTGTTTTGTTTTTATTGTATTTTTTTTATCAAATAAATGTAGCCTTGATGCGCATAAGAGTCTTCTTTCAAAAACACAAGTAACTTTGCAACTACATGTCTAGCAGTCATTATAGTATTAGACTGTCTGCTTAATATCTGCTAACACTTTATTTTGATGGTCCCACAACAGACATTATACTGGCTATAACTTTGCAACTGTAACTGACCCTACTCGACCCGCTCTGAGCAGGATTCGAACCGGAGTCTCCGGCATGGGAGGCGAGCGCGCTAACAAGGAAACTAAAGACCACAGCCGTTAGCGTTAGCATGCCTCTTGAGATCAGGGGAGTGAGGTTTACCTGCACAGCTCTGGCCTACATTACACTCACCCCCTCTAAACCTCACTCCCATCCGGGTCACGGCACCAAATGTAACCGGTCCTACTCGACCCGCTCCGAGCGGGATTCAAACCGGAGTCTCCGGCATGGGAGGCGAGCGCTAACAAGGACACTAAAGATCACAGCCGCTAGCGTCAGTCGCTAGCACGCCTCTTGAGATCAGGGGAGTGAGGTTTACCTGCACAGCTCTTACTGGCCTACATTACACTCACCCCCTCTAAACCTCACTCCCATCCGGGTCACGGCACCAAATGTAACCGGTCCTACTCGACCCGCTCCGAGCGGGATTTGAACCGGGGTCTCCGGTGTGGGAGGCAGGCACACCAACAAGGACGCTAAAAACCGCAGCCTAAGCGACAGTCGCTATAGCGCACCTCAGGGGAGATCAGGGGAGTGAGATTTACACGCACAGCTCTTACTGGCCAACGTCTGTTACACAACTATCTAACCATAACACCTTACCTAACAGTCTACTACTCAAATGAGGGTTGGTTAACATGTAGTTGCAAAGTCACTTATAGTTAGTAGGGTTATCTATCTAACCTACAGCTCCAGATGTTAAGGAAACACTGAAAGTATACTAAAAGCAATTAGGTAAATTACAAAACAATCTCATATAGCCTATTCACATGTAAAACAATGATCCAGATTCCAGATGTATATGTAAATAGCAATTTCCTAGTACTCAGGAAGTAGCTATTCTATGCAGAGGCAGAGCATTACAAAAGCATTTGTATATTTCCATGTCTGGACCATGTGCTGGTCATCATCAGCAACTGTGTGCATTGCACTGACAATGATTGATGTTGAAGTATGTTCAGTATATTTTAAGGTGCCTTGCATAGTAGTAGCAGCAATATTTTCCCCTTGCAGTGGTAAGAGCCACGGCAGCCTAAATAAATGCAACGGACTAACAACATTAGTTATTTAGAGAAAGTTACCCCCAAAAAGATCATCAGAGAAACATAAAAGTCAGCGATTATCTGATCAGCATCACTCAGTGCTTGAAAGTTGGCTTTCAATTGCCAGAGGTCAAGTTTGTCAGGAAGTAATTGAGTTTTAATGGCTTCCTTCCACTAAGTGTTCTGTTGCTTTAGCATTTATAATGCAAGACACGCCCCCTAGTGGAATTTTAGTGTTATTATAAAAAGTCATCTCTCTTTGCACAGGAGGACTGGTCATTTTTAAAGGATTGTTTATAACAAATAATATTCGTATTCACTCATTCTTGAACAAGGATTCCAGTTTGACAAAAAAATTTTGTAGAACAAATACTTAGATCTCTGTCTCTTTCACCACCATCAAAATGGAACCATGTTCTGCAACAATCATGAAATATGTATTTTATTCTCCTCGATAACACTGAAAGCCTTTTTATGTGCCACTCTGCAGAGTGTAACAGAGCTCTCTTAGTGTATAAAGCCTATATTGCATCTGGAAGATGGAAATTCAACAAAAGGTGATTAAAGGAGAATAAAACATTTGGGTTTATGTTGTGGATTGATTATACGTAAGGCTCATAACTGATCCTGCACAGCATTGGCAATGTCTCCAGAGTAAGTCGATAATTTCCATAATGATATTACGTAAAGATTTTCTCGAGTGCTCTTGATTTTCAAAGTGGACCACTTCACTCTGGCATGGTCATTGTGAGGTATTTGTCTTCTTAAAATGCAGGCTTGGTCGATATTTACAGTTGTACAGAATCTGGAAGAACTTTGCTTGTTCTGTCACTAAATGTGAGACAGTTGAGCCGTAATATTGCAAGTTCTTTGATTTGAATTTAATATGCAACAACAGCAAAGTCCCAGTTGAGCCCCAGATTAACTAAAGGGCTTGGGGGTGTAAAAGTTTGAGAGGGCATCATATAGGACATTGTTATGCACAGGCTGTCGGAGAGATGAGGACTGATATGATTAAAGCAATACTCAGAGAGACAGGACAGTAATTGTGCATCTTGCGCATTCACTTGACACTGCTCTATACGTTTAGAATGATGACAGCTTGCCTGGGAATCGGGCTGCCAGTCATTCTAACCAGGTCTCTTGTGACAATACTGTTCCTGGAGGCTTTTTAGTTAGTGAACAGATCACTGGGAACTCTTATAATAGATGAATGGAAATCTAAATTCACTCACTACTACTACTACTGCTATTATGATGCATGCAACTAGCCTTTCATGCCTAAGGTACAGTGTTTATAGGCCCTATTAAATAATAATTTGTTAAATTTATATAGCGCTTATCTGGGTACTCAAAGCGCTTTACATATGGAAGGGAGGAAATATACAGTGCATAGTAGTGCACTGTGTATTTTACTATTATTGTCAGTATACAGTGGCAATTAATGATGTGCGATTCGCGAATGAATCATTTGTTTGAACCGATTCTTTGTAACTCAAAGCGTTTGCGCTAAACTATAGGGAGAAGAAACGTGTTGAAATAATAAATTACGCAACATTTTACATTTTTATTTATTCGAGCATGTTGGAATTTATTTTGGCATAAAATCATAAATTTACAATTGACTAAATAGGCTACCAACAACCATAGCCTATGGCAAACCATATCTTACATAATTTCAATTATTTTAAAATTCTTGACTGTTTTATAGGTGTTTAAGAATGTTGTTTATTATTCGGTTATTAATTAGCTAGTTCGTGTTGCCTTTGCTAGGCTATATATCCTAATATTAGACCTTTAAGGGCTAGTTCACCCAAAAGGAGATATTTTGAACTTTGTTGGTAACCGTTGACGGTAGCCATTGACTTCCATAGTAGGAAAAAAACAATGGGTGCCAAACATTCTACAAAATATCTCTTTTCGAATTCAACAGGAGAAAGTAACTCATACAGGTTTGGAACAACTTGAGGGTGAGTAAATGATGATTAAAACGTTCATTTTTGGGTGAACTAATCCATTAAACTAATCTGGAATCCTGATATCGTGCGTAGGGGTCAATTTTGATTTGTGAATCGATTCCTTTGAACTGATTTACCGGAAAGAATTGTTCGAACGAATCGAATGTTTCAAATGAATCGAATGCTCTGTGATGCTGGTTGCTGTTTCCCTCATCCCGCCTCCGAACACGCAGGCGGCGGTCATGTGCGCAAAGGCCCACCAATCTACAGATGCCGCTCCTCTCCATCTCCTCACTCCTATGAGACCGCTCTCGGCTTTGACGTCATCGTGTGCTCCCTCCGGTTGCTACGGCAACCCGTCTCCCGCACCCCCTGCCCTTCCCATCCCTACGCTGGTAGGATCCATAATGGTACAGGCAGCATCCTGCAGCACAATGGTGAGCGCGCAGTGATTCAGCATCGCAAACGCAGACTTTAATCCTTCTCTTTTTATTTCAACTACCTTTCTTTCTTTACATCTGTTTGGTTCGTCCTCACAGTGGTCTATAAAACCGTCGCCTACCGGCATGTTTTGAACAGGACTGGACTGTCACCGGACCGGGAACGTCGGACGGGCAGCTGGCACGGAATGGTAGGTCGGTCGGTAGGAGATGTTGATGCGGGAACCTGAAGGGTGGGGTGATGAATATTGATCGCTATGAAGGTTAATGAAGTCGATGTCTTTGTGGCTAAAGGAAAATAAATGATCCGTCAAGATTGGCGGCGCGCACGAGAACGAGCAGACGCGTAAACGGCAGGATTTCTCCGGTGTTTACCAGATCTGAGCGCGTGAGCGCACATCCATCCATGTTTTTCCTGCATCACTCGCAGTCCTGCATCATATGTCCTGTTTGCAGTGACGGCAGGCCTTTGTTAGAATATGGACTGATAGAATGTGAAGTCACAACAATGACATGTATGCAAATGCAGGTTAATATAAAAGACCTTTTAATTCTAATATAACTCTCTTTTCTACTTATAGAGGCTAAATTGATTGAATCTGGTCAAAAGATTGCCGTTGAAGAATTTAAATTCCTTATTTTGAGACTATTTCTTGCATTTGATATTTTTAAACTGTTATCTAAGCATATGTGAGTTCATTCTGGAGTCTGAGATGGGGCATATGGTAAAAGCACCTGCTGTTTTTTTTCTTTCTTTCGTAGGCTACTAAACAGTGTAAAACCATCTCATTTTAAAAATAGGATATACACATTTATACAAATTTAGATTGCTGTTGTTTGATTTACTTGTTTATTTCAACCCACGGTTGAATATAACCATTATTCAATAACTTAAAATGTAATGAAACACATTTTTTAGATGTGATATGTTTGATGTTGTTGTTTTTTCCCCAAATTTTGGTGGTTTTAAGGCTTTTTTTTGGTTTCCGATTTGCAATAAACATCACGTCAACATCACAGGATGTGACGTTTTCATGCACTTTCATTTTTCATAAGACTGTGTGGAATGACAGTCTTAAAAGCTATTAAAAATGCAAAAGCGCATTGATTTACCTACAGTATATGTTCGACGCAGAATACAAATGGCTCTGGCGTTTATGCATTTACTTACATGACCTGAAGGTATTTGTGTGTATTGTGACTCGAGCCTAAAAAATGGCATATGATATATTTGTGCATTTTATTGCATTCAATATTGCATATGCATTTGTAAGAACCCTTAACTCCTTTAAAGAAAAATAGAACTCACTGAATCGAACAAAGAGTTCAGTAGATCACACTTATAATCAGATAAAGAGCATGCGTATTTACCATGCTGTCCGAGGAGAGGGCTCCGAGCTCTGTATTTTGGCCCAAACCCAGAGTACTCCCCCCGCATCCCTGCTGGGATAGGAACCAGCCAAGAGTGAGGAGTCGGGGTGGCGGAGGGATGTTGAAAACTGTCGAGGAACATAGGTGAGTCGGCTGCATATATAGGCCTCCTCTCGTGTTGGTTGGATAGATCATTTGAACGTGTTCCTCCTGAACTTTGTTAATTTTGATGTTTGATGTTAATAAAACATAATTTCTTGACATTGTTTCATGACATTTTAAAGGGGCTATATGTAGAATTCAGAAACTCTTGTTATTAGTGACACCGGTGGCCGTTAAGTGAACTGCAGACAGCAACTTATTGCTCAACAAGAGACTGAACGTTATTCAGTGCTCCGATATACTCACGCTGAAGTTCTTTTTCATTCTTCGCTTAGAAGTAAAAAGTTGGAAATACCCTTGCAGTAATATACAAACATCCTGACGCCGTCCACAGAATATGTAAATATGTATTATAACGAATAGGGGTGTCACGGTACATGTATTCGTATTGAACCGTTTCGGTTCGAGGCTTCCGGTTCGGTACGCATACAAACCGAACGATTCCTTGGACCATTTTTCCTGCCGACAAAATTCGCGCTGGCGCGATCACCACAACGTTGCGCAACATCAAATGGCAAGCGTAATGAAAGCGGAACGAAACTGCGCTATTGTGCTTCATGGATCGTTTATCAGTTCGGAGCAGCAACATTTGTGCAGCGGGAGCCGATCTCGATCAAGCGACACTGTTACAACCGTTACAACACAGCGCTAAGAGATCCAGTAAAGAAAACATTTGAGTTCGCCACTGAAGTAATAACATCGCTGCGAGATCTAGTGAGAAGCATTCAAATTTCTCCGTTATTAACCGTAGATCTCTATTAGATCAAACAGCGCTGACGTGGACACCAGGAGAAATATTGTGCCGTGAATGAACTAGTAATACTTTACGTCCACAGACCAGCAACATTCACCATGGATTTAATATAGTAACACTAACTGTAACCAGTTTGGCTGGAATAGTGAAATGCTTTCAAGTACTTCACACATCTTTTTCCAGCACTTCAAAACTCAAATATTATATAAATAAATAGCCTATATGAAGAGTTCAGATGCAAAAGCCTCTATAAGTGCCATTTGAAATTTTTTTCTAGAATGATCATTTTTATGAAGCTTGTACATTTAAGTTCAGTAATTTCACTCAAATGACAATTAATAGGCAATCTTTATTGCCATTTAAGTGAAATTACTGAACTTAAATATACAAGCTTGATAAAAATGATCATTCTAGAAGAAAATTTTAAATGGCTTTTGCATCTAAACTCTTCATATATTTAAATGTTATTTTTAATGTGATGACCAAAACATTATTTGTTCATCCTTCAAAGATGACCCCCATTTATAAACCTGAAAGTTTCAAGATGTAGGAAAACTCACTTATTTAAAAAATATTTTTTCTTTTAACAAATAGGAAATTTCTCTGGCATTTCTTACTTTTTGCTGTATCGAAAACGTACCGAACCGTGACTTTAAAACCGAGGTACGTACCGAACCGTGATTTTTGTGTACCGTTACACCCCTAATAACGAAGCATCTGATCATAGCGATGTGGATATGTTTGCACAAGCTCTCACTGACTTGATTACAAATGATATTTGAGATTATAGACTAGATGTGGCTATGTGACACTATAGTTTGAATCAATCCCTTTTCTTAGCATGACACATTGTCGTTACATTACAGAATAGCTCTTTCGGCATTATCCTGAACATTGTATAAGCACTCATTTCATGTGTAGAACGGAAGAGCTCTCTGGAATGCGCAAAACCGTCACATCCTTTGAATTTTCCCGGCACAAATGTTCACATAAAAATCAGTCTGTTACAGCTAAGTTTCGTTACAAGCTGTTCACACATTTTCAATACAAAAAGCGATTAATATTTAAGCATCTATGCTTTTGTTTTAATGCAATGCCAATGGCACAATGTGGCTTTTAAACATCAGTACTGTTATAATGGACCAATTACTGCAGGATTTGGCACGGCGCTGTGCATAACGCTGAGGGACGTCCATGGACCAATCATGGACCAAAAAAAGACCCCATATGGCTAATTAGGCTGTTCTATTGTGTCTGTTTATTGTTAAATCACAAACCAGTGGGTGCCCTGGTTAGACTCTGCTCACGGTTTAGTGTCAGAGGTTGTCGTGACCATCGTGTGCTGACATTTGGAAAGATAAAGAGTGATTTTGGGAATGAATTAAGGACTTCTGAAGCCTTGAGAAGCTGGCTGGATATGACTTGGATGGTTCAGCAGATTGTTTGCTTCTCTGCAAACTGACCACGTTCCTAGGGAATTGTCACCTTTTTTTTTCCAAGGACTCTTTAATAGATTATTGTAAATAGATGCTTGAGCCATCCAGTTTTGTAGTCCACTGCAATAGACAGGGTTTAACTTGTTATTTCCATCAATATTTATTGGCTTGCTTGTTTGTTTGCATATTTAGCTATTGTTTGCATTCATGTTGGATCAGTAACCTTTATGAATCTTGATTTCTTGTGCCGCATCCATTGGAAAGCAAAAGTAGTGTTTTGTATCACTAGTTGCAGTTTATTTAACAATGTGTATGTGATTATGCTTTGAAATTGGTCATCAGGTTTTGAGGTCTAAAATGAAAATGTTTCTAGATGTCATGTACAAGCTCTGCGGGATTGCAAAATCACAATTTTAGTCTCTGCTGCTATGCAGTCAAAGAACAGTCCCACTTAATATTTTATGTTTTGGAGCCAATAGCTTGTTCTGTCTCTGGTTGATTGTGGTTAGGATTAGTCTACCCGGGTTAAGCCATCTCAGTGTTGTAATGTTTCTATCGCAGGCCCATGTTATGCAACTAAAATCGCCGTGTTACCATCCAAAGCCATTTGTAGATGATGTCACTGCTAACCAGGGAACACAATGGAGTCAATGTTATTGGAATGGTATCAAGCATTACCAATCTGCTGTTATCAACACTTTTTTAAAAACATTCAGTGAATTTCTTGGCTTATGCCATGGCACATTTTCAGGGATGCCTTTTTTAAGGTCATTACTTTTGTAAGAGGGATTATCAATAATGTCTTTCTTCCTCGTGTCATGTTGGCATTTAGAGCGAGGACTAGCCAATTTATAAATTGCACAATAAAAATGCTTAAATGGGCAATTCTGGCATCTTTTACTCACCCCCATGTTGTTTTCAATCAGTATGACTTGAAAAGATTATTTTTAAATTGGCTAATGAAAGTAAATAGGGAGGGACTATGGAAGCTTATTTCTGCCATGGACTTAAAGTATAAAAAAGGTAATTGCAACTTCTTATCTCACAAATCAGGCTTTTTCCCCCTCAAAACTGCTGTTTTATGTCTTGTAATTGTGATTTTACATCCCATAATTTTGACTTTTTTTACTCTACTGAGTTTACATCTCACATTCCTGTAATTTTCTCTTCTCCTGTCATTTTTTTCCTGGTAATTTTAGACACCTGACCTGACCACATGAACATGCAGAATTCTGAGAAAAGTCAGAATTGCAAGATGTGATGCTTAAATTCGCAATTCTGATAAAAAAAAAAATCAGAATTGTGAGGTATAAACTCGTAATTTTGAGAAGTCGCAACTACTTTTATATTTTTATTCTGTGGCGTAAATAAGCCTCCATAGGTGACCATGGGCTGTCAAGCTCACAGAAAAAACAAACAAAAAAAAGCAGAAAAAAAAGCATAAGACCATAAAATCAATCCATGCTAT